ACTCAATGCAAAATAAAAACATTTAATTAAAAAAAAAATACATATGCCATCTACCATTTATATTTTCTTTTCAATTTATGGCATTATATAGGACCCTTTGAAAGTTTACAATAGAGACTTAGCTAATATTTGAAATATTTCTTATGTAACTTAACCTTATTTAACTTTCATGATTTACTGAATTGTTTTTGAAAAAGATTGAGAATCACAATTATTTGAGGAAATTTTACAAAATATGCATAATTGAACTTAGTGTCATGATCCTTGTTAATAGTTAAAATATTGGATCTAAGCATTTAACGAATCATGATGTGGTAAAAGACATCTTTTTAAAACTTTCCCACAGAGATGAACCATTAACAAGTTTAGCATTCATATTCTGTTTGCACTTCTATTTTCAAGTGAAGTTATTTAAATAAAAATAACATATTTTGCTCAGTAAGTTTTAATAAAAAAATATTGCTTTTGTACAAATATTTTATTTTACATAAGAAACCTTATGAGCTAAGCTAGTCATAATGTACATGTAGTAAAACCTTACATTCAATAAAATTATTACATATTAAAAAAAAAAAAAGAAGCTAGCAGTCTAAATTCAGAGCGCTGGCTCTGGAAGAAGGTCCATGTCTCCTATCAGCATCAGTAGACTCAGTATTCCTGGAAGTTCTCCATGTGTGTTGGCATCAATCTTTCTCTAAATCTAGGAGCTTCACAGTGTAGGAACCCCAGGTCTGAAGGGCACACTACACTTCAGGCTCTTCTTTATTGATGACAGTGGGTCCTTCTTTCTCTGCCCGGTTCTCTCTTCTTTTCTATCTCAAACAAGATTGGTTCAAGATACAACCTAATCAGGATTGCATCTGACCTCGTTAGCATCATAGAAGTGAGGATTTACAACACATTAGATCATTATATCAGATCAGGGCTGATCACATCAGATCATTTCATAGAGATGATAGTATTACATTAGATCTCATCATGGAGGTGAAAACTATATCTTAACTACTAGACCACCAAGATACCTGGTCCAGCCATGAGGTTCTTCATTTTGGTATTTCTTCATGACTTTAAACTCCAAACCAAGGAAATAAAAGGTGAAGTCGTCTACACAGTAGAGATGTATTCTAGGTAATAGCCATTGCTTTATTTTGGAAAATCTAGTTCTTTTATTTAGCACGTCTTTTTGGAATGCTTATTATGTGCTGTCTCATTTGTTTATGAGCACTTGTTAGAAAAAAATAAGAGAGAAAGTTTGTTCACAATTGCTGACAAAGCAGCATTTCTCATCAAACTTGATGCGCTTAAGAAGCACCAGAGGGCTTATCAGAGGTGCAAACTCCCGGCCCAACCACCTAACAATTCTAAGTCAGCACATCTGGAGTTAAAGAACCAGCATTTAAAATAAATGATTCAGTGATAGGTGGTCCCTCATTGCATGTAAGATGTAGAAGTCAAAATAAGAAGCCTTGAGGTAAAATGAAGTGGATGGTAGTGGTTATGTGCCATGGAGTTGGTTCCAACTCATAGTGACCCTGTAAAGGGTTTCCGAGGCTGTAAATCTTTACGGGAGCAGATAGCCTCATCTTTCTCCCGCAGAACAGCTCGTAGTTTCGAACTGCTGACCTTGTGGTTCACAGCCCTATTTGTAACCACTACGCTACTAGACAAAGGCTATACATTGGTTAACCAAGAATCACAGAAGATTCAGTGGTCCAGGCCCTTGTCTGCCAGCTAATAAGAACATAAGACCACAGATGTGTTTCCCCAACATTTGCAAAGGTCCATTGGGAAGCCACAAGAGGAAGCTCCATTTGCCTCAAAGACCAAACAAAATGACTGCAAGGGTCATAAGTGACAACACTGGGGTTGCCGTGGTAACTGTAATCAGTTCTGAGAGTTGATTTGAGGAAGCTGTGGGTAAGAAAGAAGAGGTGAAGAAACTTTTCTTAAGAGCACTTTGTGTGTTTAGAAATGACTGTGATAACTATGCTAACCCACTTTATACCCCAAATAGTTGTGAAGGGATAGAAGGAAAACCATGACAGCATGGATTCCTTCTAAGAACAGCTTGGAGGTAATGCACTGGCAGGCAGGTGACTCATGAAGCAGTTTCTATATTGTCCTTTTGCACTTTCCCATTTTATTCCCAGTATTTATGGCATTAGAGAAGAATGAATCAAAAGCAAATGCAATTCTCAAACACAAGAAAGATAAAAACAACTGCATAAAACTACCACCACAAACTTTTATTTAATTAAAAATAATATACATGTTGTTGCATTTTCATGGAAAATAATGAGTTAAAGAAAAAAAAAACACGAACAGTGTTAGTTTTCAGAAACATTACTGCACCTCATTCTACCTGTTTTGCCAATGATATTAACCATGGTAAGGAATCGGGGGGAGGGCCCTGGAACTTCCTGGAAGTCCATACCTACAGAACTCCTGGAGTGAGCAATTTCCTCGATGCTGTTCTGTCAGGTTAACTCAGATACCATTAGCATTAGCTTCCTTGCAAACCACTGAAAGGAGTTGGCATAAAAGCTCAAAGTACCATCATGCCCCTACCAATTCAGCCCGACAGGTCTGAAAGAATCTGGAACACGGCCATGGCCCCATCCAGTTCATGCCACTAGAAGTGTTGGTGGTATAGTAGTGAGCATACCTGCCTTCCAGTGTCAAACTCACTTAACAAGTGACCTTGTTCTGTCTGTGTATTAGTGTCCCAAGGCCCTCCACAAAATCTCCTCTTAACTCATGATGGGAAGTCACTGCCATATAGTGTTTGTATTTAAGCCATCAGTAAGTATCCAAAGTGCATGTGGCCCCATGTACAATACTATCAGATAAAAGGAGACATATTGGTACAATACAACCTTTGGCATCACTGGCTACAATATAGCCATGTGAGTATTTTCAAAGTCTTCATGTCATTATACATTGTTAAGAAAAACAATATAGTATAAAAATGTAACTGAAAAGATCATTTCAGTTAGAAACTTCTCATATGCAATACAAGGTATGTCCAAGATACTCATCTCTCTCAAGGCCTTCCTGTACTTTCTTTGGACTGTACCAATCCCTAACTTATTTTCTTGAGCCCACATTGTAATGCTGCACCTTCATATTGCTCCTGAGGGATGTTTTTACTAAAATTTGATCTGATATGACAGAGCATCCCAGCTGTGCTTTCCTGTTCTTTTGCTTTAAATTGTAGTACACTCAATTTGGGTTACATAACCAGCTTTATATTAAAGAGAGATAAATTCCTCCCAAAATACATAAACAAACAAAAATAGCTGGTTATCAAAAAGTAAGAATGGTCTCAGCTCTTAGAAACTGGAAAATGTCTTTCATCCTCATAATGATATCTCAATTGATGGGAATAAAATAAGGTTGAAATTGCTTTTCACATTCTGGCTCTGTTGGGGGCATTTTCACATAGACCCCTGTAGTAAGAAGACTTCTTTTCTTTAGCTGCCAAACACAAAAAGAAACAGTCATTATTATTAAAGAACACAGACATCACCCCTGACCATAATAGGAACTCACCAAATATTGGGTCCTTGCCTGTTCAAACACGAGTGTTCATGACATACAGAATTATAAGCCCCAGCATGTTTTCTTGATTCCAATATTAAAATTCGTTTTAGGTAAATAACTATACCATTAATGTAAAATAGTAATTGTTCTCTCTGACTGGCAGATAGGAGAAAGAGACTTAGAAGAATCTTCAGAAATGATGCAAAATGCCTATGGTAATTGACTGGCATTTGTGAAGGAGCCATGATAAAGTACTAAACTTGAGTTACTCTATTTGAAAGCTGTATTTCTCAACTCCACTCTTTGTATTCTTTTTATTACATTTTATCTATCTATGTTAGCAGTTGCTGGAGAAGGATATCATGCTTGGTAAGATGGAGGGTCAGAGAAAAAGAGGAAGACCCCCAACGAGATGGATTGGCCAGGTGGCAGCATTGATGGCGTCAAGTGTGGCAGTGGTAGTGAGGTTGGCCCAGGATCAGACACTGTTTTGTTCTGTTGTGTTTAGGGTCGCTATGAGTCAGTTCCAACTCAATGGCACCTGACAACAACAACAACATCTATCTATCTCTATTAGTCCCTAGTTTTTATCTCCTCAGTAAATTGAGATCTAGTCTACTAGTCTGGGTGGCAGGTTATGACAAATGAGGTAGAAAAAAAGAAATAACCTAGAATAAATGAACATCATTGTCCATCTGAGGAGATGATCTTGGAACTGAGTATGTATTTGTGTGTGGAAGAGAGAGAGAGAAAGAAAGAGATTGAAAAAGACAAATAGAGCTAGAGAGAGAGTCCTTGTGATAGCGAAGCCAGCATTAAACATAGGTGGCTGAGAGGGACAGTCAGAGAGACCTGGACAGAAAGTCTGCCTCTTTCACCACCACCAACTATAGTAAATACAATCTAATGAACAGGGCTAGAAGGTCAGGCAAGGTTTCTCAGGTAAGCATGTAGGATAGTAGGGAACCTGAGTTAGGTGCTGTGTCCATGACAGATATCAGCTTGGACAAGGAAAGCACAAGTAGAGTGGCACCAAGAGATGTCTCTGAAGTTAAATGAAGGAACATTCAGGGAAGAATAAAATCCACCCAGGTGGTCATTTCCACTAACATTTTACCCAACATAATTTGTGTTTCAGGGTTACTAACTGAAGTACGTTTGTGAAGACAAAGAGCAAAACAGTTGCCCCGTGTTGTTCAGTTACTCAAACTGAAACCCTATTCAGAAGCACACACACATTCAATGTCAAAGACATTCATCTAAAATATTAGTCATCCTGAAACCTCAAAGGCCAATGCCAAGGATTCTAATGTATTCTCTACCACTGTTCTTCCTCTTTGACGTGTATTGCTTCATCTCAAGAAAACAAAGCCCTACCCCATCATTTGGTCAGTAGATAACACAGAACTATCCCCACTAAATACGGTGGTTGCCAACATCATACTCACCATTTTGCTCAAAGAAACAGCTGTGATGAGGAAACTGTAAAAAAACAGTCCTGAACTGACTGCTGCAAGAACCCAGAGGAGGAATTCAGAATCTGGACATGGTTCTGGATCTGCAACCAGTAACACAGCATTGTCTGTAAGACAGTCTTTTCATGTTACAGGTCTCCTACCCCACTGGTGAAAAAAGGAAGAAGTTGTTGGAGCTCCCAGGCTTTGATGCACACCCCAAATAGAGCTACTAGCCTACAGGTAACTTTGGTTATTTGGGGCCACTTCCTAGAATATCTAATCAAAGACACAAGATATGGTGGTTATCATTCCAGAGGGAGTGCTCCAGCTTTCCAGTAGAAAAAAAAAAAAAACCACCTGCCTCAACCCATTTTATTTAATAATCAGAAATGTTATTTAGATAGCCACCTATAAGCAAGCCTACTATGTGGAATGATAATGCACCAGTAAAGAGAACCAAAGGACTCTCCATAGTCATAAACAATGAGCCATTGGAAGTTAAGGCGCAAAACTGTTCTCCTGCAGAGAAGACAGCAGAGTGAATGATGTCAACTTAGTAAAATGACTTTGCTCACCAATGACAAAAATCTGAGTCCCATTGCCCATGCCCATGTAGTAGGGCGGTGGGTACATGAGCTCCACTTTGCAGATGTACAGCCCAGTGTCGGTGGCTGTCAGTCCTTGAATGGTGAGATTCACTTTGTTTCCACTGGAGGTTCCAGTGCAGGTGGGATCATCTAGGAAGGTCAACTCCTTCTCCACTTCAAATGTGGAGGCACAGACTTCAGTCATCTGGCTGCTGAACTGCCGCAGTACTGTCACTCGGACCTCTTTGACTTTGAGTGAGAACTCATACTCACACACAAAGCTGGCAACACCCCGGTTGCTGGCCAGCACCACTACAGGCTGGGACACGTACAACGCTAACACAGAAAAGAAAAAGAGAACTCCATGAATTCACTCACATCCACGGCTAGTCTCAGGTAAAGCCTCAAGCCAGGGAAGGTTTATCCTAGAGGGGTAGCCTCCATTTCACCTGTCACCCCTTCTTTCTCCCTTCCCCAAACCCCTCATCCTCCCTAAGCACTAATCCTCTGTCCACTCCAGTTTTCATTCCATTTTTATTCCCCAGGACTTTCTATTAGCTGTTTCAAAAAATATATAAAGTTCCTTCTCAGGAAACAGATTCTTAAAGGCAGAAGGTTATGGCAGGAAGAATTTTGATGTGGCAAACAGAAGAGTTGGCTCTGTCATGAAACATGATTTGGGGCAAGTCACATCTCTCCTGTAGCCTTCATTTTCCTCACATGTGTGGCGCTGTGGGTTAATGCACTGAACTGCAAAGTTGGCTTAAACTGCAAGGTCAGGGGTTCGAGCTCCCCAGTCGCTCCTTGGAAACCTATGTAGGGTCGCTATGGGTAAGAACCAACTTGACAGCACTTAACAACAACCACCACAGTAAGCTGGGATTATTACTAAAGTGCCTTCCACTCTAGCGTTGTAATAATAGAGCATTTTGGGGGGAGTTGTGGGAATTGACGTATAGAATCTTGCTTTACTACTCCTCAAAGCATACTGCGCAAACCTTTGCCTCTTTCTTTAACTGGTCCTGTACTTCTGTTACCTGGGAGTAACAGCTGAGCCATGGCTCACTGGGCTGACCACCCTTTCTCTAGCATCAGTATCATAGAATGGGGATTCTGCTAGATGAAGGAAGCCGCAGAGCAGAGGGCACCAGGTCGTTTCCTCTCCAAACGGAGGCAACCCTGCTGTTTGTTAACTTCTATGGGCTTCCCCTACCGCCATCATCACCTCTTCCGCCCACCCTCTCTCTCTGCTTCACTCTAGCATCTTGGTATTCCTTTGATCTTTTTCCTCTGTCTTCTGCAGGATAAGGGAAATAACTTTCCATACAAAGAGACTCATATCATCTAAGAAATGGTGGTTTCATATCAAATTCTCTCCGAACTCGTCTTTCTGTACTAACATGGCCTCTCTACATTCAAACAAATGGCAACTAGTCATCACCCCAAAACTTGGATTGAATAACGTTACTCATCTGCTCAAACCCTCTGATGCCTTACTTACCATTGCTTGCAAAACAAAATAAATATTATTCTATATTCTCTATGATTCCCTTCCTGCCTATAAATCACCCTTTATTAAAGACACCAGTATCTTCCCCCAAGCATCTGTACTTGGGGGAAGAGAGTACAATATGGTAGCAGCCACAGCCATGGTTAATTCAGCAGCTCAATTTGGTGAGACAAGTATCTTCTTCCCCATTCCACATTTTCCCCTGACAGAATGTTGTTGTTGTTAAATGCTGTTGAGTAGGTTCCAACTCATAGTGACCCTGTATAGGGTTTCTGAGGAGTAGCTGGTGAGTTTGAACCACTGACCTGGTGGCCCAAACTGACGTTGTGGTCAAGTGCATTATCCTGCATCACCAATACCAGGACCTTATCTATCCTTTAAAGTCTGGTTCCAATGGCACCTTCTTCTTGAAGCTAGATTACTTAAAGTGGAATGACCTCCACTGCCTTCTGAGCATCCTTTGTGCTGGTATAGCTCCATTGCAGTACTTCATTACATTATGCCCTACAGTGAAGGTTTTTGTGGTCTAATCACGGCACTTAACAATCACATCTACCCCATCTTCTGCCTCTTAGAGCAGTAGTCACATCCTGCTCAAATGGACACTCAATAATATTTATTGTATTGACTCTAGATCTAAGACCAAATTTCCTGCTTTTCCCTTAGGTGAGCTCCCAATTAGTAGCACTAAATCTGACCACACTCAATATCCCAATATCCCAATATCCATCGTGGATGGATCCTAACTACAGGCTGAGAGCAATTTCCTAAAAAGAAAATTCAATTACTTCTAAGAGTCTTTAATCTTTGCATGTTCGAACATGTAAAATCAGAAAACATATACGACTCTTTCTTAACAAGTAAAAATTAAACTACCACCTACTTAATACATATTATATGTTTTCTTAAACAATAAAGTCTAAAGAGAAAAGGCTGAGATTCAATGGGAATGCTAATCATTTCTAGCCATGTAACACACCTGATGTCCACAACTAAGACAGACAGCAGATAAGTATCTTATGCCAAACAGATGGATGCCTCACTTTCTTTCTCTCTTTCTGCCTTTTTCTTTCTTTTTTTTTCCTCTTGTTACTTTGCAACTTCAAATTACCTTCATTTATAAAGTAATTTTTAAACTATTTCTAAGCAAATGGGATAGTTAGTTTCTAAAGTTGAATTAAAAGATCTTAAACCTTGAATTGGGTAAGAAAGAAACTGCCAATGATTTCATTCAGTTGATTTTTTTTTTTTTTTTTTTAAACAGGGAAATCTGGAGTTTATCTTGATACCAAGCTCCAGTGCATTTAGGATTGTGGATATCTTTTCCCTCCTAAATCTCTTTACCTTAAGGTATTTTCTTTTACTCTTCTGGAAGATTGGAAGAAAATACCTTAAAGTATTGCCAGCGTCTCCCAAATCATCTAACATGTACTCATTACGTATATAGCATACTACTAGTTCTCAGCCATGAGCTGTATGTCTGCTTACTTGCTTCTGCTGCTGGTTGTCTCCCACTTTCAGAGCCATCCAAGCCAGGAGAATTAAGTTGTACCTGTAACTTCTGGCTTTGTTATAAATCACTGCCCTTGATTACTAAAGAAATGAAACTCAGATGGGAGAAACACCTCCTCCACCTTCACGTTCCAAAAGCCTCACTCACCTTTGGAGCAGATGGGAATGAAGAGAAGAGAAAGCACAACAGTGTAGGGCCAGGTCCTGGGCAGGTGCTGCTGAACCCCAGGCCTGAAGAATCCAATGCAAGCCATGGCTTTATGGGAGTGGACTCAGGGCTTCAGGAAGCCAGGTGAAACCTTTCAGGATCCTGGAGCTTTGAATGTGTTTGAACCCACACAGAATCAAGGACTTTATATAGTCGGCTTTGATCCCAGGTATGTACTACACATGTGCACACAAAGAAGGCAAATGAATAGAAAGGCTTTTTGTTTTGGTTTTACGAGAAAGGAAGCCGTGGGTTTAGCAGTTACGTCGAAAAGATAACCTCAAACACTCAAAGTAAAACTGAACAAAACAAACCAATCCATGGATGGAAAATGCACTCAATTTGAAACTAAAGCTTCTTGTGCTCTTTGAGGATCTGGATAACTAAGTGGAGACTTGGAGAATTTCCTGGAGTGCAGGGATTCCCCTAAATTCCAATTTTATCTAATCGCATTTTACCACCCAACTAACTTCATTGGCACTCCTATAACAGCTAAGCTGCCACTCTCTGAGCACTTGAGTTAATGGCAGAAGTCACCTCTGAGCATCATTAGTAAAGATCTGTTATATATGCATTGGCACCATCCTTCTAAGATTGACTTTTCAAGTAAGAGTTTCTTCCTCCAGCACCATTTAACATTGTGTTGAGAGAAAACACTCAAAGAACAAGAAATAAATTGAGCTGCCCCTCATTTTGCAGATCAGAAAAGAATCTGAATGTTCTTAAAAGGCTTACCCCCACAAGGACAAAGCAAAATTATAGAAGGTCCCAGAACAGCCCACAACAAAATGATCCACCAAATTTAATACTCCCATAAGAGGATAAAGTCATTTATAAACGGTAGTTTTTCAAGCAGTAGATCCCAAAGCTAAAGTGAAAAATGACTCAAATTCTTAAATTTATAAAAGTTGTGGACAGAACAAAAGTTCAACTTTACAGGCCTTGAAACTCTAGCTCAAATGCTAACAGGCAATAACAACCTAATGAGCACTTAATAAGGACTAGTTTTGACACAGAGCACTGGAGATACAAAAACGGAAAAGGTGTGATCCTGACCTCAAGAGGAACACACAGCAGTGGGAGGGACCAATAGTTACATGTGTGGTCATCATAGATGGAATAAAGACTGGAGTTGAAGTTCTCACAAGGTATAGAAAGCCAGAACCACTGCTCCTACCTGTGGAAGTCAGAGAGGGATTCTTAGAGGAAGTAAAACCTAAACCAATTAGTGTTCAGGCAAAAAAAGCAGTATGTGCCAATGCACAGGGGCTGGGAAAGGGCATGTGATGTGTTATGACATAACAACCCTACAAAACGGGGATCCATTCCTCCATTTTATACAAGAGGTAGCTGAAGCACTGAGGTTATTGCTTTAATCTCAAGGTAGGTAATAGAACCAGAATTTGAACTAAGTCTTTGAAGTCAAAGACAACTGCATTTAAATCCTAGCATGAAGACTTACTTCAAACCCTATGTCCTCAGGATAATGGAGTTTGTTTCTCAAGACTGTTATACGAATTAAATGAGAGAACACACACAACACATATAAAAGACCTATTACAGTGGTTCACACTCAATACACAAGAGATATTTTAGTATAGGGTCACTGAGACGATGGAGATGGGATTTATTGGAATACAGAATGTGTGAAGAGCAAGTGGAGAGCAAGTGGTGAGTTCTATTTGGACATTTTGAGTTTAAGATACTCCTGAGAATTTTACATGGAAATCATGTAAACCATGGCCAATAAGGATCGGGAGCACAATACAAAGATTGAAATTAAAGCTATGGTTTAAACAATCAAAAAATCACTAACAAAAATTTCACAGGGCTGAGGCACATAAGACCCATTGCCTTCAAGTCAATTCCAACTTTTTGCAGCCCTGTAGGAGGGATTAGAATCGCTCCATAGAGGTCCCAAGACTAAATCTTGATGGGAGCAGACCACCATATCTTTCTCCTACAAAGCAGCTGAGGGGCTTGAACAATTAGCCTTCAGATTATCAACTGAGCACTTAACCACTATACCATCAAGACTTTTCAAGCACATAATATGTTGTCATTGTTGTTGAGTACTGCTCCAGTCTGTTCCAGCTCATAGAGACCCTGTATAGGTTTCAGAGGAATAGTTGGTGGGTTTGAACTGTTGACCTTGTAGTTCACAGTCCAGTGCTGATCCTACATTGCCACATCAGGAGTGCACTCTACATATATTTGTAAAATAAATAAATAGATCAATGAAGACAGATTAAAAAAATAAAAGAGGAGAGTTATGCTAGAACTTCAAGAGCCTAACCAGATCCCTTCATATTAGTTAGTGAGACTATTCGTGCCATAGAAAGAAAACTGGTTGTGAAAACAAATATAACTACAAAGGGGAAAGGATATAGGGTAATCCAGAAGTCACTACCTTAACCTAGTGATCAAACTGAGCATCACCTGTGATGAGAAAGCCCTACCTCATTCACCTCCAGATAAAATGCACTGAGAAGGACAAAGCATCTTTGTAGTATTATTGCCAGCATCTAATAATGAAACAACCAGACAAGTCTATGTTGGGATCACTCTGTAAAGAAAACTAGTGTGGGCTCTTCAAAAATGCCACTGAAGTTTTCTGTTTTGTTATTTAAACCTAGAAAATGATTCTACATGAAAGCAGATTATGAAGAAATAATAACTAAAGGAATTCAGTTTATGCTTGACTAGAAAACAAAACAAAGATAAGTCACATTAAAGACTCACTAAGAGAAATCTTAACTTAGTCTATATATGAAAGTGAAGAGGACTTAAAACATTTACTGATGAAGATCAAAGAGCACAGTCTTCGGTATGGATTGCATCTCAACGTAAAGGAAACAAAAATCCTCACCACTGGACCAATAAACAACATTCTTATCAACAAAGAAAAGATTGAAGTTGCCAAGGACTTCATTCTTCTTGGATCAACTATCAACACTCATGAAAGCAGCAGTCAAGAAATCAAATGACATATTGCACTAGGCAAATCTACTGCACAAGACCTTTTTAAAATGTTGAAGAGCAAAGATGTCAGCTTGAGGATTAAGGTGTGCCTGACCCAAGCCATGGTATTTTCAATAACCTCATATGCATGTGAAAGCTGGACAGTGAATAAGGAAGACCATAGAATTGATGCCTTTGAGTTATGGTGTTGTAGGAGAATATTGAAGGTGTCATGGGCTGCCAAATGAACCAATAGATCCGTTTGGAAGACGTGCAGCCAAAGTGCTCCTTGGAGGCCAACATGGCCAAACTTCATCTCTCATACTTGGGACATATTGTCAGAAGGGAACAGTCACTGGAGAAGGAGATCATGTTTGGTAAGGTGGAGGGTCAGAGAAAAAGAGGAAGACCCCCAACGAGATGGATCAGCCAAGTGGCAGCATCCATGGACTCAAGCGTGGCAACAGTAGTGAGGTTGACCCAGGATCAGCCAGTGTTTCGTTCTGCTGTGCATAAGATCACTATGGTTCAGTATTGACTCGATGGCACCTAAAAACAATAACAACATATATGTTCAGGAATTGCTGTTGTTGTTGTTGCTATGTGCCACCAAGTCCTTTCTGAATCATAGTAACCCTACACACAACAGAAGGAAACGGCGCCCAGTTCATGCATCATCCTCACAATAGTTGTTACGCTTGATCTCATTGCTGCTATCATTGTGCCAATCCATCTCATTGGGAGTTTTCCTCTTTTTTGCTAACTTTCCACTTTACCAAGCATGATGTCCTTCTCCAGGGACTGGTCCCTCCTGATAATATGTCCAAAGTATGAGAGACAAAGTCTCACCATCCTGGATTGTAAGGAGCCTTCGGGTTGTACACCTTTCACACACTCTTCTGGCAGTTCAAGGTACTTTCGATCTTCTTCTCCAATGCCCTAACTCAAATATATCAATTCTTGTATGGTTTTCTTTTTTCATTGTCCAAGTTTCACATGCATATGAAGCTACTGAAAATATCATGGTTCGGGTCAGGCATACCTTAGTTCTCAAACTGACATCTTTGCTCTTCAACACCTTAAAGAAGTATTTTGCAGCAACTTTCCCTAATATGATACATCATATGATTTCTTGACTCCTGATTCCATGAGTGTTAATGGTTGATCCGAGCAAAATGAAGCCTTTGACAATATCAATCTTTTTTCCACTTATCATGATGTCATTTATTGGTCCGGTTGTGAAGATTTTGTTTTCTTTACATTGGGTACAACACATACCAAAGACTGTGGTCTTTGATCTTCATCAGTAGGTATTTTAAGTCCTCTTCGCTTTCAGCAAGCAAGGTTGTATCATCTGCATATTGCTGTTGTTGTTGTTGTTAGGCACCATTGAGTTGGTGCTGACTCATAGCGACCTTATGCACAGCAGAAGGAAACATTGCCTGATCCTGGGCCAATCTCACTACTGTTACCACACTTGAGTCTATCGATGTTGCCAATTGGCCAATCCATCTCATTGGGGGTCTTCCTCTTTTTCTCTGACTCTCCACCTTATCAAACATGACATCTTTCTCCAGTGACTGGTCCCTCCTGACAATATGTCCGAAGTATGAAAGACGAAGTTTGGCCATCTTGGCCTCCAAAGAGCACTCTAGCTGCACTTCTTCCAAAACGGTTCTATTAGCTCTTTTGGCAGCCCATGGCACTTTCACTATTCTCCTCCAATGCCATAACTCAAACCACCAATCGAATTCTTCTACAGTTTTCCTTATTCACTGTCCAGACTTTGCATGCTTATGAGGTTATTGAAAATACCATGGCTTGCGTCAGGCACACCCAAGTCTTCAAGCTGACGTCTTTGCTCTTCAACACTTTACAAAGGTCTTGTATAGCAGATTTGCCTAATGCAATACGTCGTTGTCGTTTGATTTCTTGACTGCTGCATCCATGAGTGTTGATAGTTGATCCAAGAAGAATGAAGTCCTTGACTTCTTCTTTTCTTTGTTGATAAGAATGCTGTTCATTGGTCCAGTGGTGAGGATTTTTGTTTCCTTTTCATTGAGATGCAATCCATACCGAAGGCTG